GGGTTAGGGATGGGCTTGTGCCCACTTCCTCTCTCAGCTCTGGCACCCCCTCTGGCTTAGATCCATGCAGCTGCTGTGCATGCTGCCACAGTCTCTGTGAATTCATATGTGCATCAGTCCTGTTGTGTCTGGATGACTTTGATTCCTTGGTGTTGTCCATCCCCTCTTGGACAGAAATTTTAATTCAGCAACATAGCTGCTCTGTCAAGGGATCACATCCAAATATCTGCTAGGTCTGTGTGATCCAGCTGGAATGACACACTTTTAATTCCAAACGATGAAGATAAGGTTAGTTTGCAGAAGGAAGCACCCATGTTTGAAAGTGACATCTAACTGAGGGACAGACAAAGTAACGAATCAGAGAAAGATTTGACAGAATGAGTCAGAGATATTGTTGTGCCCAAATCGAGATACCCCAAAAGACCACCACCAGGAGCAGAGTCCGTGGCAAATCACACAAGGATCTTTTTATTACAAATTATAAGCTGCAGCTTGGGCTCACACACCCCCCACCGCCGAAGCGGTGAGAGCCAAGAGCCCCATGCTCAGGTTAGTTGGGTGATTTAAAGATTCTGGTCCCTCCCAGCATGCCCAAGGCAGGGGCAATTCCTGCCTGGGCAAGCATCTATTGGTCAAAATGCTACATTTTGAAATGATTGGCTATAGGAAGGTCCCCAGACCATAATGACCTGGTGTCCCTCCCTAGGGGGATGGGCCAGTTTCCTAGCAAGTGTATCTCTAGTGAGTGGGGAAAGAATGCAGTACAGCAGGTTCTTCCCCTCAAGGCATTACTGGACCTCACCAAGCTAGTTCAGGCCTTAAACTTTAATAATAACGGCTGATTTTTAATCTTTTGGTCTCTCAGTATTATATACCCAACTTTCCTGAGAACAGGAGAGGGGATTTAAGAGGACACGGGAGAGTAGGGTAGAATTAAGACAATAGAGTAGGGTATAGTAGAGAGGGAATAGAGAAGACAATACAGAAGAGTACAGTAGAGTTCAGTAGAGAAGATAGCACAGTAGAATTTAGTACAGTATAAAACAGGCAGTTCAGTGCAGTTCAGTTAAGTGCCATTGAGTTCAGCTGAGTTCATGTAGTTCAGTGCAGTTAAGTTCCTGGATTTCAGAAACAGAGCAATTCGAAGAGAGAAGCCAGGTTGAATCAGTCAGCTTGGGGAGGTATTTTGAGCCAGAACAGCTGAGTTGAACCAGCCAACAAGAGTTCAGAAAGAACTAGAAAGGGTGAGCTTATTCAGCAGTAAGCCTCTGAGATGACAATTACATCTGCCAAATAAAAGTTACTGTTACACCCTCTGGCTCTTACAATCCCTCCAACTCCTCTTCCTCAGAGATCCCTGAGCCTGCACGGGAGAGATTTGGTGGAGACATCCCATTTAGGACTGAGTGTTCCAAGATCTCTCACTGTCTGCACATTGTTCAGTTGTGGGCTTCTGCATCTGTTCCCATCTACTGTAGGAGGAAGCTTCTCTGATGATGCTGAGGAAGACATTGATCTTTGATGTAGGAGAATATCATTAGGAGTCATTTGATTGCTACACTCCTAGTTTAGCAGAACAGTAGGTTTGGTTTTTCCCTAGATCTGTGGCCTATCTAGCCTTAGGTTCTTGGCTACCTGAGCAGTGGATTCCATCTCATGGAGAGAGCTTTAATTCCAGACAGAGTGGTTAGTTACTTCCCCACCTTTTGTGCCACTATTGCCACAGTATATCTTGTTGGCAGGGCAGGTCACCATTGAAGATCCAAGGGTCAGTAGCTGGATTGGTGTTTACTTTTTCTTTTGGTAGCATGCAAAGTATAATCCAGTACCACGAATGCTATTCAATTGGAGTGAAGTTCCCAGGTAGATAGCAGTTTGACTTCTCCATTGTGCAGTGAGTTATGTAGGTGTTCTCTTTAGCAATAGGGCCTCATTGCCAGTTTGTGGAGAAAAACTAATAGCCTTGACATTAGCCTGGGTTGTTTGGGAGTTTCCTTGGGACCCTTTAGCCAACAACTTGATTAGATGTAGCCCTTTCCTGGCACTGGGGCTTTGAGGTTTCATAAGCCCTATCATTCCTGTTTGCTCTCTTTCTTCCTTGTGGTTGTTGTCTCAACATGTAAGCCCTTAGCTACTGTTCCAGTACTAAGCCTGGCTGCCTGTTGTCATACTTCCCATCAGGCTGATCATGGACTAACCCTCTAAAAGTGTAAGCAAGTCTCAAATAAGCTTTTTCTTTCTATAAGTTTCCTTGATCACAATGTCTTTGCACGGAAATAGAAAAATAGCTAAGTCACCAACCACAAAATGGAAGCTATCACCAAGTTGTTAGCAAGGAGTAACTTATTCTAAGTTTTGAAGTGGGGTGCCGTTTGGAGGTTGGAGTCCTAGGTTGCTAGATGCAGGTTGTTAGCAGAGGTGTGTGCTCACTGCCTAAGTCAAGCGGAGTCCTGGTTAAGTTATTCCTAAGCTTGGCTGCATCAGAATGACTTTTTACTAGCTTGAATCAGGGGAAAGACGGGAGGTTTCCTGACCCTATAGTAAATTACTTAAGTGTATCAACATGGTCAAAAAGACCAACTTCTGAAAGTAAAGTAAGGGAAGTCTTATTCAGAACAGCTGTGGATTTGCTGCTGCTTTTGGTTCCCGTCCTTTTCTCCCTCTAGAACTCTCCCATTTTTACTTTCATCAAAATACACTGTTCAACAATCCTACTCCCATTTGGTCCCTAGGAGACAGGTTGCTCCGTATTCTTCATCTCCTCCTTAGGTCTATTGCTGAATATTGCTGTTGGCTGCCTCATGAGCTCTTTCACTCCAAAACTTTGTTTGCAGCTAGCATATTTTAGCAACAGTGATCTTTCTTTGCGTCTGTAAAGATCGGTGTGATATTGACAATCTGGTGGAAATTCTGCTTTTTCTTCAAGTGGTGAAGCTTCTTATTGTTCTTCTGCAAGTGAACAAAATGATGATTATAAAACCTGACTTCCTGATGATGCTGGCAATTTCATCTCAGCTTACTTGGGGTCTTTCCATGATGGCCAAGGTGGTCATAGTTGGGTCCATAGGACCCTGAATTTCCTGGTCTGTCTCAGTCAAGATAGCAAGCCCACAATGGGTGAACCAACCTACAGTCTCAGCTGGTTGTTATACTGCACACCTATAATCAGTGTTTGGGAGGTTGACACAGGAGGATTGCCACTAGTGTCAAGCCAACTCTGTCTCAAAAACTGAAACAAAACAACATAAATGTTAAGTTATGTTGAGAGAAAACAATGTTAAAATTAATCTTCATAAATAGTATTCCTAAGAGGGGACTGGACAGATGGCTCAGTGGTTAAGAGCACTTGCCTCAGACGACAGGGGTTCAATCTCCAGAGGTAAGATCCTCTTAGGAGCTCTCTTTCTCTTTCTCTAACACACACACACACACAATTAAAAAAAACCCTCATAACAACCTACATATTCTCTGGGAATTAAACTTAGCATTAAAAAATAGTTCAAAACAAGAGGACCATACATTGGGGCATAGGGATGTGGGGGTGGATCTGGGAGAAGTTGAGCGAGGAGTTGGTGAATATGCTCACATTATGTTGTATGGAATTTCCAAAGAATTAGTGAAGATATTTTAAAACTGCTTTTAACTACAAATAGTAAAAGACTAATAAATGACTCTTAATGAATGCTTATTTGGTGAATACTTCCAAGCAGTTCGTTTGCTGTTTTGTTTGAGGCCAGGTCTCACTATACAGCACTGGCTGCTCTAGAATTCAGATCGTAGATCAGGCTAGCCTCAAAGGTTTGGCCATCCTCTCCTCTGTGCCTTCCGAGTGAGTACTGGGAGCACAGCACTGCCACATGCAGCTCTATAGAGCATTTTAATTTATGGCTACCATGTTATTGTACTTCTCACTTATCTATGGCAAGATGCAATCCTCTCCTCTCTTTTAATAGAGTATTCACAGTTCCTTTTCTTCACATTATTTCTTGACAATAAGAAAATCCAATCTTCCAGACCACTGAACTGAACAGTATCCTGCTGGGCATGAGTTAGGACAGCCTTCCGTCCTTCGCAATTGCCACTCAGAGTGGCTCATAAACCATCCCAAGGGCGGCTAGATCCCACAGATGAGAGCGCAGGACACAGATGAGAGTTTAGTGCTGCTTTCTGAGCACTGCTGCTGTGTGATGCTGTTCACGTGGAGGAACATGGCTGGAGATGCTTTCCAGGGATCTGTGAGGTCAAAGCTATTTTCTTTGTTAAAGATAAAGTTTTTCTATGTAATCCTACCTGGCCTGGAACTCCCTCTGTAGACGTGATCTGCCTGGACTCCAGGGCTTGGATTAAAGGCACACATGGCCACACCCTGCCAGTATCTTAATACCCAGAGGTTATTCTCATTCTCTCCTAGGGTGCAGTGGAATTTTCCCTAACTATGCAAAAAACGTGTCTTACTAAAGTCCAGCTACACGCTCCAACTGTTTTCTAAGGGAGACATTAGTTTTTTTCTCAATTTTACTTTTGAAGTTACTTTCATGACAATGTTTTGCTAGCGTCACACACTAGTGTATTTAAACTAGTGTATTTTTAATGTTGATATATCCTACAGAAACAGTTTTCTGTTTTTTGAGTAAGGAGATCGGTGTCCTGATGCAACACGTTTGAACAACCACAGACACCTCAACTTGCTCTCCACGTCTGTACAGTAGTGGGCCTCACCCATTCCATTTAAAACCTGTTCCCCGAGGTTGGTCCAGGACTGGCGGTGCGACGCCGCGCTTTGGGGGACCACTGGGCCTCCCCACAGGCCGGGCCTGAGCCTCCGGGCTTCCGGCTCAGCTAGGCCGCGCGCGGCCGCTTTCAGGCTGAGGCAGCCCGGAAGGCAGCCCGGACTCCGGGCCGGAGGGGCGTTCCCGGCGCGCCCCGCCTTGTGAGGGCGGAGCCACGCCCGCGCGGAGAGGCGTGGCCTCCCGCCGGCGCGGGAAAGGGGCCGGCGCCGCGAGCGCGCGCGCAGCACGCTCTGGGAGGGGATGGCGGCGGTGCCGGCGGCCGCGGCTGCGGGGAGCGGGACGCCCAGGGAGGAGGAGGCTCCCGGGGGGGAGGCAGCAGCCCCTCAGGCCCAAGCCCCGACGAGCGCACCCGGGGGCGCTCGCCTCTCGAGGCTGCCTCTGGCGAGAGTTAAGGCCTTGGTGAAGGCGGACCCTGACGTGACGCTGGCGGGACAGGAAGCCATCTTTATCCTGGCGCGAGCGGCGGTGCGGCGGGACGGCGAGGGCGCCTGGGCCTGGGGGCGTGGCGAGCGCGGGGGGCGGGGCTCGGGGGGGGGCGGGGCGGGGCGGCCTCAGGTGTGCTGGCCTGACTTTAGACCTGGGAAGGTCTCTGCAGGGCGGGTTTGAGCCTGGTAGCCCCGCGCCTCCTACCGAGGGGCCACACAACTTTAGTTCGCGTCTCCCGTGGCTCACACAGAACTTGAAGGAGCGCGGACGAGTGCGGTGGATTTGTAAATGATCGGAGCAGGGGGATGGTGAGGTTGCCCGTTACAGACAGGAACAGCAGAAGCATCCTTATGAAGTTTCCTGTATGGTAGAGTCCCCCTTTTCCCCCACACATACACAGGAATGCTCATCTCTGTGGACTAGAATCAACTAATATTTCTTCTGCTTGCTTGTTTCGCAGGAACTGTTTGTGGAGACTATTGCAAAAGATGCCTACTGCTGTGCCCAACAGGGAAAGAGGAAAACCCTCCAGAGGAGAGATTTGGGTAGGGTCACTGTGTGCCTCAGGGTGGACAGGGGCGTTATGGGCTAGACTTTCTTATAGCCAGTTCACAAGGTAACACTGGGGCAAGGAGAGATTTGGGTTTTGATGTGTTTGTGTAGCTGGTAACCCTTGCACGTGTGTACGGCTTTTCAGACTATCTCTCATCTGTTCTGGCAAACTCTTTCTGGTAATTTTAGAGAAGAGAGAAAAATGAATTTAGGTATAAGACATGACTGCAGGATGACTTACTTTACAGCATTTGAATGGGTTTTGGGAGAGAAACAGTTAATATGTTTATAACAGTTACTATCAGGAATATGTTTTCTAAGTGATAACATTTGTGTAAACCCCATGTCAGTTATTATGTGGGTTGTGCTGTTTTGGTCTGATGTCCACATGACAGGAGCTAATCAAGCATCTCTTCAACTGCTGTTTCAGATAATGCGATAGAAGCTGTGGATGAATTTGCTTTTCTAGAAGGTGAGTTCACCGTTGTTTCTCTGTTCTCTGCACAAATTGTTTCTCTGTTGATGATATGAGTTCAAACCTTTTAAAAACAGATGCCTGGTTCTTCTTTGTATACATGGGAACAGATCTCCCTGTATCCTATTTTGATAGAAAAAAGGAACATTTCCTACTCTTGGGAATTAGAACTTATGCAGGGAAATTGCTAGCTTAAAAGAAGGAGAGAGTATAAAAACCACCCATGGAGTTAGTTGAATTTAGAGTTTGAATCCTACTTAAATCTCCATCCCTAAATATCACGCTTGCCTCCTTATTATAATGTTGAAAGTTAGAAACAGTTCGTAACTTTAAAAAAATAATTTATTTAATTGTACTTTATGTGCATTGGTTGGTATGAGGCTGTCATATTCCCATGGAACTGGAGTTACAGACAGTTGTCAGCTGCTGTGTGGGTGCTGGGAATTGAACCCAGGTTCTTTGCAAGAGGAGACAATGCTTGTAATCACTGAGCCATCTCTCCAGCCCTGTAACTTTTTTTTTTTTTTAAGATTCATTTTTATTTGTGTGTGTGTGTTTCCGTGTGAATATTTTCCACGTTGGTCCAGGTACCCACAAGGCCTGAAGAGTGATATGAGCTGCTAGAGTCCTCTGGAAGAGCAGCAAGCACTTTTTTTTATTTTGGTTTTTCGAGACAGGTTTCTGTGTGTAGCTCTGGCTGTCCTGAACTCACTCTGTAGACCAGGCTGGCCACAAACTCAGATCTGCCTGCCCCCATCTCTGAGGCGCCTCACCCATGCCCCTTTCTTCTCCTAAGCTCTTCCACTGTCTCTGTCTGTCTCTCTCGCCTCACTCCCCAGCCGTGCACATTAAATCTCTTCATTCCAGATGTGTTGTGTGGGGCATTTTTCTTTCTATTATTACAGAAGTTAGCAGGTGCTCCCAGCTGTGCACCCCGCCCTCAGGAGACTGGGGCAGGGGGATTTGAGGGTGGAGGCCAGCCTGTGCTATAAAGGGAGTGCCAGCCCCATTTGGCCAGTGATGCACTTCCTCAGCCAACAACACAAACCCCAGGAAAGTTACTGCTTTACTTAGAGGTATTTCTGGGTTGATCTTTCCAACATTTGTTCCCCTGAGTAATACTTTATTTATAGGATTAAAAAAATACCTTTGCCTCTCCTTTTGCTGGGAAGGTTCCTTTAGTCTCGTGCTTTTCCTTCTGTGTGAACATACAATGAGGCTGTTTTGGAACCATATGTTTGTAAAATGGTGGTTGTTTGCAGCTTCACTTGAGGGTGAAGAGCTGAGGCCCCACAGGCGGAACACAGCCTGCGTCCTGGGAGGGAGCCTGCCAGAGGCTGCCCTTGCTTCCCCAGATAGGCCACTTGGTTCTTTTGAAGAAAGTCCTGTTTTTGTTTTTTGTTTTTTTCCTTCTCCTCCATATATGTTGAAGTCCCTGGCTTCTGCATGGAGGGAGGGTTGTAAGAGGCATGCGGGGAGGGAAGCACGTGTCGTTAGCTCCTTTTCTACTTTCTTTCTGTCAGTCTGTGTAACTGGGTCCAGTGCAGTGGCTCTCAGCGTCCCTGATGCTGCGGGCCCTTTACTGCAGCATCAGTAAAGGGGGCCCTCATGTCGTGGCGACCCCAGCCATAGAATTACTTTCTTTGTTACTTCTGGACTGTAATTTTGATAGTTATGAGTCATAATGTAAATACTTTGAAGATACAGGGTTGCTAAGGGGTCGTGACCCACAGGTTGAGAACCACCAGTCCAGCGCCTTCTCTTGGCCCTGTGTGAGGGGAGCTCCTCCTCTTGCAGCCTCCTGTGCATTAGGTTCTCCATAAATATGCTTCAGTGAAGTGGTGGTAATTCATTCTTTTTATGTCGGGATTGCCCAACTGCGAGTGGATCTTTGTTCTCCGTTGTGGATTTATATCTTTCTTTTTCTCTTTTTTGAACAGAATCTTGGAGAGTGCATACACACTTGTGATCTCATGTGCCCAAACTCAACTGGGACTTCCTTTTTTTTTTTTCTTTTGCTTTTTCAAGACAGGGTTTCTCTGTGTAGCCTTGGCTAACCTGGACTCACTTTGTAGACCAGGCTGGCCTCGAACTCCTAACAGTTCACCTGGGACTTTCTGAAACAAGATTAGAGGGATAAGGATAGGAGAGATGGTTCAGTAGTTAGGACTATTGTAGCAGAGGACCGCCTTCAGGCTCAGCAGCCACAGTGGGTGGCCCAACCTCCTGTAACTCCAGCTCCAGGGGATCTGATGCCCTCTTCTGGTCTATATGGGTATTTCACATACACGCTCACACAGAAATGTACACATAAGTAAAAAGAAATTTGAAAAAATTGTAAATGCTTCGCTAGAGCGTTTTTCTTTTAGAATGTTCACAGAGTTCTTTAGTCTCTTCCAGCTGTAATTCTAATTCTGTGCGTTGGCAGGCTTAATTCCCACGGACTCTCCTCTCTAAAGATACTCCCCCTGGGTGTTGGGTAGATACTCCTCAGATTGGAACAGCAAGGCCCTGTGTGCCTTAACTTTGGCCAGTTTGTGACCACACCAGACTGAGACTTCTTGCTTTCTGCATTGCCCTTTCTGTTTTTAGGCACTCTGGATTGATAGGCTGGAGCTGGATGATTCTGTGAGCGTTTGCTGCATCCCTGAGCTTCCCCTGTGCAAGCCTCAGCTTTGGAGAGAGTCTGCGCGTGCGCACCATCTTGTCTACTTTTACCCAAGCTGGAAGAAGCAGAGAAATGTCTGATAACACTCATCACAAAGTCTTCCATTCCTTGAGTCTGTGAGTCTGTCTTCCGGTTCCGGCCTTGAGGGCCTGGATGTAGCCCCTGCTGCTTGGCAGAGGTGAAAGGACTGTTCTGCATGGGCGGCCTAATGAGCAAGGAAGACCAGAATAAAGGTCTTGCTCAGCTTCTTTCCTGCTTTTTATGGCCTCACCCTTGCTCCTGCCCTGTGACTGGGGAACCATGTGTCAGGCACAGACCTTCATCTTCCTGCCCACCATCCTGAGTCAGTCTTTTTGTTAACTGTGTCCTTTCTCAGCATGTCATTGGAAGGCAGGCCTATAATTTATGGGATGCCACTTCTTCTTAGCAGTTAGATTGGTTTGGTCCTAACAGTTTTATTGAAGTATAATTCATGTGTCATATACAATTCAAACTGTAAAGTTCAGTGGGGTTTTTTTTTTTTTTGAATATTCATAGGTATGTAGAGTGAGATTTGAACATTTTCCTGTGAACAGATTCACATGAGTCTTGTGTATAACAATTTAGATAATGTTATTTAAGTTTTATCTATGCTATGGTGTGTTTATGTACCCCTTCCAGGACATTATGAAATATGCATAATATAAAGTTTCCATTTTAACTGCTTTTCAGTGTGTTGCTCTTTTCAGTGGCGTTGACGATATCAAAGTGCTGCATCATCATCGCCGTCATTCGCCTCCAGAACTTCGTTTAATGCTCTCAGCCTGGACCAGCATGCACCTGAACAGAACTTTCTTTCCCTCTCCCTTCTCATTTCTGGCTCAATTAAGTTTTTGTTTTGTGAGAAGGTGTGGGCGGTGTACTTTGAGTACTTGGAATATAGTGGTTCAGGAAAGCAGAAAGCAGAAAGCATTGGCCCGGCTCTTTTCAGTGTTCTGCAGCGTAAAGCTCTCTGAAGATACAAAGGCTGCAGGATCTTTTCTCCAGATCTAGACGCAGGTCTGTAACATGTTAAACATAAACCTTCAGAAAAATACTAGATTTATAGAAAAGTGTTTTGGTCTTCCTTACCAAGGTCGCCATGGCTGACATTTCAGGGTTACCAGGAGCTGACATTTATGGGTTACTATTTGTGCCAGTTATGAATTTGAATTTTACTTTTTCCTGTTAGTATTCCTTGTTTTGAGATATAATTCCGAGTAGTGTTTCCCCAGTCTTTTTTCGAGTCTCTTAGTTTTGTTTTTGTGTGTAGAGGGGTTTTAATCCAGCAACTTGGCTACTCCGGTTGCAATGCAGACCCACCCTTAGTACACCTCTTTAATCCCAAACATGAAGGTAAAGTTAGCTGGTAGAAAGAGGGAGGCAGCCAGGGTGAGCCGTTCTTACGTGTGTTCAGGGCTGCTGGTGGATGACATTTTGCATGTCTGTTTAAGGCTGAGGAGAAGCAGGGCTATCTTCTCTTGTGCGCTGCCTCCTTAGTGTCTGTCACTCATGTTTCTTTTTGTTACAGTATCTTTGTTTTGAATTTGAAATGATGTTAGGAGTCTGCGGTTTTGGAGGGGCAGATACTTCTCCAGGTCAGTTCTAGTTTGCTTTCTTTGCTGATAAAACACTGACCATAAGCATCTTAGAAGAGGAAAGGGTTTATTTCATCCTATGCTTCCAGGTCACAGTCCATCATAAAGGGAAGTCAAGGAAGGAACCTGGAGCAGGAAACCTGGAACAAATGCTGTTTGCCGGCTTGCTCTAGGCTCGTGCTTCCTGGCTCTCTTATCCTGCCCAGGGTTACCTGCCTAAGGATGGTACTGCCCACAGTGGGCTGAGCCCCCATCTTAGTTAATTTACCAAAGTAATCTCCCACAGAAGTGCCCACATGCCAGTCTGATCCTGGCAGTTCCTCAGCTGAGGCCTTCTTCTCAGATGACTCTAGGTTGTGTCAGATACAATCCAGGTTAACCAGGACAAGATCCTTTAGCATTTATGTGGCTCTTCACGTAAAGATTATCACAACTACAAAATGAGTTTAGTCATTTAAAAGTTATTTTTAAATTTTTAAAAAAATAATTTTTGAGAGTTTCATGCAATGTATACAGTATCTGAATTTAAATCCATCAAACTCTTCTCTCCCACTCCTCCCATCCCTGAAACTCCCTTTTGTTCCATGTAGTCTATCCATTTACATGTCTTGGGTCTTTTCTTTGGTTTTTCAAGACAGGGTTTCTCCGTGTAGACCTGGCTGCCCTGAAACATGCTCTTTAGGCCAGACTAGCCTTGAACTCAGAGATTTGCATGTCTCTGCCTCCTGAGTTCTGGAATTAAAGACACGTGCCACCACTGCCCAGCTTTATTATTTAATTATTTATTTGTGTGTATATAGGTTTTGGGGAGTCGGCCATACCTGCAGCGTGTCCATGATGTCGACCTTGTATCTAGAAGACAATATTTCGCAGCACTTTTCCCCAATTTTCCAAGTCTTAGAATCCTTCCATTCCCTCTTCTGTGTTGTCTCTTGGGCCTTGGAAGGGGTGTTATAAAGGTCCTGCTTAGGGCTGAGTACTCAGTAGCCCCTTATTCTCAGTCCTTTGAGCAGCTTAGTCTGCATTAACTGTCTCCTATTGCAGAAAAAAATTCTTTTTTTTTTCTATCTGAGAGGTAGAAGGCGGTTTGATACATAACCACTTAGCATAGTAAGCTCTGCCCTAGGGTGTGTGGCCTCCTGCTGTGGACTTTCAAACAGTTTATAGTACTGGGTATATGTTCGTTCCCAAGAAAAAGACCTTGTATCCAACCAGATAGGGACTGGTTGACCCCCCTCCCCAACACTCATCCACCATTGGACTTGTGAGACCGTCTTGTCTGCCAGGTCATTATTGTAGTGTGTAGGTTCCACAGCTGGGCAAGTCTGTTGATCCCTGCCCCTGGCAGCCTGCACACACTCTCCGCTACTGTGCATGTACGTGCTAGCTTCAGCAGTAGGCTCTGATTATCTAGAGCATTGGCCCGAGCCTCCGCCTTTTTTTTTTTTTTTTTTGACAAGACTTTCTGTAGCTCTGGCTGTGTTGCCCTCTAGCTCACAGTGACCCACCTGCCTCTGCCTCCTGAGCGGTGAGATCAAAGGTGTGTGCCAGCACATGTTCTGAGAGCTTCTGAGGTCTCCCTAGCTAACAGACTCATAGGGAGGAGTACTACACCTGCATTGGAATTTTTGTTTAATGACTTATGGCTTCTGAGAGAAGAATTACGCATTCATGCAGGTTGCCAGCCGGGTGTTGAAACTTATAAGGGTCTTCAAGAAATATAGCATGTTGCCTCCAAGTGGTACACACCTGTTATCCAAGCTCTTGGAAGGTAGAGTTTGGAGAATTAGAAATTCTAGGCTGGCCTAGGCTACATAGTGACTTTGAACCAACCTGGGCTACATGAAACCCTGTCTCAAAACAAATAAATAATGAATGCTGTTCTGTGGGAATTAATACTGTTTGGTTGAGGAGAATATTTGATATGCAACATGGCCTTTTTTCTTTAATGCCTATTTTGAAAGGCAAATAATTCCCTTTCTCTAACTTCGTATTAATTAGCAAAGTATTCTACTTCAGTAATTAAATGAGTCTAACAGATTGTACTACCTCACGCTTCAAAGGGCAGTGGAAGGCTGGGGACTACTTCACTGGGGAGAGTGCTGCCTAGCAGTGTGGAGCCCTGGCCGTCACTCCTGGCACTGCATCAAACCAGATGTGGTGGAGCAAGCCTGTAGCCCCAGACCCAGTAGGTGGAAACTGCATGATCAGGAGTTTGAAGTTATCCTCAGCTACAGAGCAAGCTGGGAGCTAGCCTGGTTTTCAAACAAACCAATGGACCAACCAACCAACCAGTCATCCAACCAACCAACCAACAAACGTGACTACAAAATAGCATGTTATGTTTTGGAATAGAGAGAAAAACCATCATGAATATATTTGTTAGCACTGAAACTGGGCCTTGGTTAACATGGTTAGATATTTCCTTTCTGAGTGCTGTGAATACTCCTGTTGTAAATGTGGGTTGCCTGTGCTAACAGAAGTTCTACATAAGAAATGAGGCAATTTCAAACTCTCTAAAGGGAAATTCGCAAACAAAGGCTTGTGGGCACATCAGACACTGAGTCAGCTAATGAGTCCTCCTTTCTGAGAAAAGGCTCATTTTGATGTGCTAATAACCCCAGGTTTCTTAGCCTGAAACACACTCGCAGAGATTATGAATGTCACCTTGAAGGGCCTCTTTGGAGACAATTGGAGAGCTTTTACCTAAGACAGACAACATGTCCTTTACACCACTCTCTGTTCCTAATAGAGTCCACACAGAGACTTGGTTTTAAAAAGACATCTGTGTCGGTCAGCTGATGGCATATTTCCAATGCGCTGATAATGAACACATCTCCACCTTATTAGGGGAAATAAATAGAAACTGAGCAAGGAGCTGCAGGGCTCACCCTTCTCATCTGAGGGTTGTCAAATCTACATGTCAGAAAGCAGAGCTTAACAGCCGGCCTTTCAGACAGCCCGAGTTACAATAATGAAGTCTCTAAAGATGCTCACAGTGTTTTCAGGAAATGCGCACCACTGCAGGACAAGTGAAAATTATTTCAAAACAACAGGCTACTGACAGCATTGCTGACTCTCCTCGCCTGCTCTGATAAACTCTGCCTTTTGTGCTATGGATTAGTAAAATACCAGGGGGCTGCTGGGCAGGTGTTGAAGGATAATTTTCTGGAGTCTTCATTTTTGCACTGTTAAGACATGGTTGCATGCCAAAAGAGAGATACAAAACTAGCCTGTCCTTAAGGTCACTCTTAAAGACTGGAGACATAAAACTGATTTCATCAAGCAGTCTGTAAAAGTAAAATGTGGAGGGGGAAGGGAGTTCTGGGGGTAGGAAGGGAGGGAGAGAGACACACACGCATACAGAGACAAAGAGATTGAGAAGATTCTGTCCCAAAAGCAGCCCTTCACTGGGATGACACTGGGGACAGGACCAAGAAAGCAACCATAGCAAGTGCCAGAGAGTATGTACCTGTTTGTGGGTTCTGGTGGCCGTGTGCACTCGTGGCCCAGCAGAACCTGCAATGTCTCAACAGACCAGGCCTAGTAGAATTTGACAAGGGCTTTGCCTGCCACTACACTTTGTATATACGTGCATGTACAAATGTGCACGTGTGTGTGTGTGTGTGTGTGTGTGTGTGTGTGTGTGCACGCGCGCGTGCGTGCTTGCGTGCGTGCATGCACATGTGGAGGTCAAAGGACAATCTTGGGTGTCATTCCTCAAGAGCTTGCTTTTTGAGACGAGATCTCTCACTGTGTGGCCCTGGCCCGGTGGGGTAGTTAGCCTGTCTCTGCCTCCTCAGCTCTGGAATCACAGGTACTGGGTTTTGAATGTGGGTTTTTGGGATTGAATTTAGGTTTTTATACTTGTGTTGTGAACACTTTACCAACAGTGCTATTTTCCCTCTCTGGTGCTAGACTTTTTGAAAGGACTGTATTTGTCCTAGTTCAATTCTCCTAGTTTGTTTATTTGAGACAGGGTCTCGCTGTGTATCCCTGGCTAGCCAGGAACTCACCAAGTAGGCCAGGCTGACCTCAAATTTACAAGATATGCCTGTCCTTGGCTCTTTAAGGTGCGTATCACCATGC